GAAGTAAGGTTGCAAGATTTTCAAGATGGGAGGGCAAGGCAGCAGTCATTTGCGCAATCTGAGTAGGCCGATTAGAACGACGAGTAGTAAGGTGATATAAAAATCAATCTAAAAACTTGTTAATAGCAATAAGTTTAGTTAATTCAGGAGAGTAAGAATGTCAGTGAGTATTGGAGACTTTTAGAAAAGGTAAAGTTTCAATTGCAGCACTAATTATGGCAGCTTTCAATGCATGCCACATACGATCAAGAGAAAGAGAGGAGAAATCAAAATTAGAATGATATTGTATATCTAAATAAACTCCAAGAGAATCATCTACTTCAGTGGTAAAATTATTCCATTGTTCAACTGAAGTGGAAGTATAAGAAAAAATAGTACGCATTTCTTTCTTTTGTTTAAGACGGGATTTGGCTAAAATAGCCAGACAAGTACTGAAGTCAAAAACAGTTGTAAGAACTTTGTGATCGGTAAAAGGACGATCAAGGAGACCCGGGCAAGTAACCACTTGCGAAAAAAGACCAGGGGCAGGAAAACCAGGTGAAGACCAAATATAATCCAGTCTAGAGGATCCATTATCATGAAAGAAAGTGGGATCAGGACCATTTGTAGTAGAGTGAGCTTGATGATCAGTAAAAAACCGAGAAGAAAGCAAGCGAAGAAGCTTAAAATGATTATGTGAATAATTAGAATGAGCGATAACATCAGCATTGAAATCGCCAAGAATAACTACAAAATAATTATTAGCTCGGGCATAATCGAGCCAAGAAAGAAGTTTGGCAAAAAGATCATTGCAAATAGATTGATGAACAGAACCAGAAGGGGGATAATATATAGAAATAATAGAAATTTTTGTCTGATGAAAGAACAAGTCTAATTTAAGAAGTCGACCGTTCCAAGAATCAATTGTTTGAACATGTTTATGAAGGGGATTTCGTAACAAAATACCAACACCGTCATGAGGGCGAGAAGAAGAAGATGAACAAGCCCAATAGGACTTAAAATAATGTAGGGAATGTTCATTTTTAAAAATAAATTTAGCATTTGAAGGGGAAAGACGCGTATCATTAATAGATAAAGCACCAAAAGAGGAGTGGAGAAAAAAATTAAGCAAATGTTGTTGTCGAACTGGGGAACATAAACCATTAACATTTAATTGACCAAATTTAATAAGGGGAGAGGGGTGAGGGGAAAAATTATGTTTATTGTTGTCCATCATTATTACACACTGATAAATCGGTAATAAAGAAGGGGGGAAAAGAGAACAATTATTGATTAGCTTGGCCTTGTTGCCGAGCTAAGATAAGGTTGTTTTGTTGGATTCCTTCTTTAATCGAGCCAGCCAAAGAGGCAACAGTATCGGAAAGAGAGGAGAGACGCTGTTCCATATCAATAGGGGAGGAAGGAGTGACGTTGGAAGGTGGAATGGGAGCAAAATGAGGAATCGGGGAAAACCCGCTTGTTGATTGCAAAGGAGGAGAATTAACATCAACGAGGATATTATTATCATTTCGATTCACTGTATCATCCCATCCTTGCATAGAGGAAGGGATGTAGGAAAGAGGTTTAGTGACAAAAGGGCCAGGAACAGGAGCACGAGCAGCCATCGCAGATTCCAAATTAGTGATGCGGCTGTTCATGGTAGCAAATTGTGTGGTAAGAAGGGCTAATTCTGCAACTACTTTTTCAAGAGCAGCACCAATAGATTTCCAATCAGTAAGCACAGTAGGAGGAGCAGGGTATGTAACATCCATGCCATCAGCATAGTGATCAAGTTCATTTGCATCAGGAATACGACGATGTTGATTATTATTATTGTGATTAAGGTTGTCGCGGTTCCATGGGCGATGTTGAGAGCGAGAACGAGATTGTTGTCGGGTATTAGGTCTGGATTTAGAGCGAAGGCGAGAAGCATTGGTACGGCTTTGTCCATCATTATTGTTATCAGGGCGGGCAAAACGGTTATGTCGTTTAGCAGGATGAGAAGGAGGTAAATGCTTATTATATAAAGCACGTAATTTATCATTAGATTGCCAAGGGCGAGGAGGGCGATTAGATCTAGATGAAGAACCACATCGATCAGGGTTACAATTAGGGCGACCACATCGATGACAGAGAGAAGTGACTTCATCCGGAGAGTGCCAGGTAAGGCCAACTTTCTTGAGGGCACATGAAATAGATTTAGCATTTTCCATAGCAGTTTCAGAAGCAAAATGGCAATAGGCGTAAGGATTGGGATTGTAAGAATTCATAGAGAAGGGAACATTGATAGATTTAGCGGAAATTTCTTCGGCAATTTCAGCAAGATCGACCGCTATAGTGCCACGCGGGAGACCGGCAAGTAAAGCAACATGAGCGCGTCTTTCAGCACGTTGGTCAGGAGAGAAAGTAGTGGGGCAAATGCGTAAACAATGTCCTCCACAAAGGACGCCCCAGGTAGAGTCGAGGTTCTGTAAAGCACCAGTAGATTCAAAAGTAATGTATGCAGTACGATAAAGTTTAGATAAACGGGTATGGCAACGAGTAATATTGCCGTAACGAGAAAAGGTACCACGCAAAAGAGCGTCAG